AAAAGACACAATCTGATCTTCCAGAACTGAATATTCTACAGCCAGCTAGGATGCCACAACAGATAAGGTCCTTACCTATGCTGCAATAAAACAAACGTTTGATGATGATGACAGGACATAGGGTTTCCTAGGAAGAGATTAGTAGAAATACAAGATGGGGGGGCAGTGGTATGTCAGTACTTGGATGTCACACCTATTGACTACCTTTGAAAAGGAGGCTGAGCAGGATCCAGTAATGGAGTTCTGCTTAAACAAGGACCTAAGTGATTCCCAGAGGCTGCTCCCAAATGATACTCTTCCTGAGAGAGCTCCAGTAGAAGGGAATCCACCTCTCCCCATCTTTGAACTCTAATGCATCCTCTCATAACTTCAAGAGCAGCAGCGCCTAAGGGAGTCCAGGCCAAAATCCAGGTCTAGCAATGTAATGTTTCTTTAGCAGCCTGAGGCCTTCTATCTAGATTGAAAAAGAAAGCAATTCTCCCTTAGACAACTCAGATATTTGGCCTGGGCACTTTCAGAAGCAAGAGCCTTTGATATTCCTTCCCATGTACCAATGTAGAGTTGAAATGCAACACAGTGCAACACCATGCAACATTTATCAGCACCAGCAATATATCTGTGTGTTCTGCCTAGAAGGTGGGAAATGGACTGCATTTCTGCATTTCTTTACTGCCTTCTCATTGCTAGGGATACATTCATCGCTATCTACACATCACAAGCGTTCATGTCAATGTCACATTTACAATGACTGATCAGTATCTTAAAGATTAAAGTATGTCTCTGTGCAACTAAGCTGGTGCACACATATAGCCTCTGCCCATTTTCCTTCTGCTCCTTCCCCCGTCTCAGATGTCATGAAGTAATCAAAGTAATCAGTTTTTCAGACTTCACTATAGGTCACTCTAGAAGTTCAACTCCCACAAGACCAAGAAGCAAGTCTAATGACCAAGGATTCTGGGATTTGTAGTCCAAAACAGCTGGCCAAAATAGTTACAATTAGTTCATATCAGCATTTGGTCTAAATCAAGCTTGAAAGTAACTCTCAGTGTGAAGATAGAACAGATCAATCTGCGTAACTCACATTTGCAGGTAAACAAGAAATTGTCCCTTTACTGCCTTGTTAGTGGCTGTAAATATGATAATAGATTACTCAAAGATAAAGACATTGTTTGCAGAATGGATGCAGGTTTAGAACAGCATTTAGAAATGATCATAGTGGGGGGGAAAACAAGATCTAAAAATAACATTAAAATGCCACCAAACAAGATTAGTAAAGTGACTAATACAATTATACCAATGAGCTTCTACAAATGTAGGCACAACTATCTTAAGCAGTTTGGGTAATTTAAAAAAAAATCAGCCATTGCTCCAGAAAAAAAATGGGCACAAAATCCCTTGAATCAATGAATATCTGCAGTTTCCTCCAAGCTGCACAGGCATATTCTTTAAAGAGTTTGACTAAAGTTGGAATTGATCCATCTCTCATATTGAACAAAAGGGCCAACAAACACATTACCAGTTGTCAGAAGCAGAGGATCTTTTGAGACTGAAAAGTGCTTGTATTGGTTTTTACTGGACAGAACTTTATTACCGATTGAAATTCTGGGAATATGTTTGGAGAATATCAATATCATGGCTTCCTTTCTTTAGAGTAGGGATAAAACTAGAAGCTAATCTAGATATTTAAAAAATCTTTTAGAATGTGCTTGTATAAAATAAGTTATTATTAGCACCCCCAAGCTGCTTCCAGCTTATGGTGATGCTATGAATTAGTGGATCCCAAAGATTCTATCATTAATGACCCGGCTCAGGTCTTGGAAATCCAAAGCCATGGTTTCCTTTCTTGAGCCAGTCCGTCTCATCTTCAGTCATCCTCTTTTCAGTCTGCCTCCACCTTTTCCCAACATTATTATTTTTTTCCAGTGAGTCTTGTCTTACCATGAAGTGTACAACCTATGAGAGCCTCAGTTCAGTTATTTTTGATTCTAGAAAAAGAGTTCAAGCTCCATTTGGGCTAGCACTTTTGTTTGTGTTTCTGGAAGAATTTAGTATTCATAAAGTACAAATAAAATAGAATAGTTACTGTTTGCGTTTTATTGTACCAGTTGGCAAAATGTCAAATTCCACAAAATTATTATTTTGACAAATTATTGACCCTCAGCAATCTATTAATTCTCACAAACGTTTTAGTAACTTACACATATTTAATAACTCAGTAAGTTAAATGTGTTTAATAATGTAATGTTTGGTAATTCAGATACATTTAGAACATGCTGTCATGTTTCACCATGATGGCACAGTGTGGATTGTTAAAAAGAAGCTGTAGTTCAGTGGCATGGTGCTTTTGTTTTGTATCCAGAACCGTACAAGTTCAGTTTCTGTCATCTCTAGCCCAGCTACAAGTACCAAATGAAATGGAAGACCCTGGAGAACTATGACTAGTCAGAGCAGATAGTATAATATAGATAATTATTTTATTTATTTATTATTAGATTTCTATCCCGCCCTTTTAGACAAAGTCTACTCTGGGCGGGTTCCATTAAACATTGTAAACTAAAACAGTTAAAAACAATTCAAAACAATAGTGATTAGTAATGCTTAGTAATGCTCACGATGGAAAAACAGAAAATTATAATAAAAATAAAGTCAACTATTGACAGGAGGGAAGAACTGCCTAAAAAGCCAAGTTTTTAATTGGCTCTTAAAAACACCCAGCGAGGGGGCCAGGCGGATCACTGATGGGAGGTTATCCATATTGGACCATTTTCAATAAACACTTAAAACATGTGAGCATCAAGGCACAATATATTGCAAAAGGGAGATTATTCTCCGGGGCATTATAAAAGAGGGCTTGTTTCTCTGTCATTGCCAAATGGAATTGCATAGGCAAGAAGGCCTCTCTCTGGACATTATAGTGGACTTTCTGTCTGACTAACTCAGGCTGTATCCAACTCAAGTGGATTATTCTTACCATAATAATAATAATTTCTGTCTCATGTACAACATGCATAGCAACTGACTCACCCTGAATCTATGGGGTGGTGTGGTTGTGTTACTCTTTTGCAGCAGAAACGAGTCTTCTGATACCTTTACAAACCAGAAATCTGATGATGTTGGCTATCTTTCTGTTGTGAAAAATTGGTGATTCCTTTATAATTCGAGTAAAAAATGCAAAAAGAACTACAGTACAGGGGGAATATGGAGGCGATTATAGCCAAAATGACAGTTGTGATCCACCTGATGTTCTTTATTCATGAGATGAAAACTAGTGACAAAGTAATTGCACATGTAAAGACAGGCATAGTAATTGGTTTAATGTAACACTGACAATCTGTACCTATCTTCCCATCACTCTTATTTTCTAAAAGGGATTGTGTCAAGAACTATAGTGTTTCCTTATTATTTAAGAATTCCAGAACACAACACTGAATGAGATATGTTGCAGGTCATTTGATAGTTTTTGATCCAAAACCCATGAGGCTGAAATGCTGGAAGGGGAGGCAGCAAATATGCTGTCTTAAGCACGCTAGCTATCCTTTCACTGACAGCTGCCCATGAGACAGAAATGGAAAGCAGCAGCCTTACTAGAAATAGCACAGTGGTATGCAACAGTTTAAGAAGTCAGAATAATGGACCAATCAAACCTTAAACATCAGAAACAAGAACCACAATGCTGTGCACACCTGGGATTAAGCTCCACTGAGACTTAATTTCCATACCATTAAATTGGCCTTGTACCAAATCAGCACCAAATTAACATAATATAAAAGCAGCAACCCATCTACAAAAGGCCAAAGAAACAATCAATGGTGCTTTGATACTACATGTGAACAACTTCTTTCTGCTGTCTGGACAAACTTCTTGCTCGTTAGCAATCCATATAGAAATTATCTCGGCTTTCAGTGGGAGAATTAAGCATGCACTTATATTTCTCTTGTTCTAAATCAATAAAACTTTAAAGTACTTCACTATTAAAAAAACTGGATTCTTCCTATGAATCCCCCTCTTAGATGTTATATTAGTTTGTAAATGTTCTTGTCATTGGACCAATAGAACACAACCAGCTTTTGATATTTATCCCATCTGTGTAACATACTACAGTTACACCCAATGAATCATAAAGAATGTGGCTTCATAAGGCAGAAAATAAATGTGCTTCGATCAATAGTACAGAGGGACGCTATACAATTTCTGAATAAAGTAACGGTGCCTAAGGTATTGGGCATACATTTCTGTATACATGGGTAATAGAAAGCAATAAAGTTGAACTTCAAAAATTCAAATTCTCTTCCCAGAGTTTCCAGTGATGATGTGTTTCTGATACTGGAAGGGAACACTGTAAATGAACTGCAAGATTTACAAACCAAGACTGGGATATGATCTCCACATACCATAATTATGAGAACTGCTGTGATGTGAGATATATATGTACATAATAAAATTGTTCACTGCCTACAGCCAATTTTTTTTTGCCTCTCCTCCACTTGAAAAATCTCAGTTCCAGAAAAGATTTACAGGATCCTAGGGATTCCACACACCCCTCCTCCTTGTTTGCCTGTGGAAGGGGGGGGGGCAAATAAATCTTTTGCATGCAAAGATGCCCAGTTGAGTCTAATTTGTCGTTTTCCATAAAACAGATGGAAACTTCGCAGTGTTCTCCCCGCTTTCAAGACGCCTCCACCCCTCCCCCACCCCCAAAAGAGCCCTTTTAGTTACACAGCCTTTCTTCCCATCGTTAGTTGGCAACAGCTTTACAACGCAGAGGCTGTGCGCTCTACTTCTCAACAAAGTCCTCAATCGAGCCATTGTTTCCACCACGATCGCCTGCGTTTTTTCCCCCCACTGGACGGGGAAGGCAGGGTGTAAAAAAGGCACCTTGTGTAAAACTGTTGGCAAAGGCTTGGAAGTGAATTTAAAAAAAAAAACACCACTCCGCAAGATCTGTGAGCGCTGCTGCTGCTGCTGCAACCCGGCTGGCTTATTGAGCCCTGGAAGTCGACTTAGCTCAGACACATTCCAAAGCAGTGAGGCAGCCGCCGCGGGACTCGCGCGCGCCGCTCCACACGACTCGCCTCTCTCGCGGCTGCCGCCCGGGCCGGCGAACGAGCGCGCGAGCGAGCAGCCAGCTCAGCCCAGCCCAACCAGCGCTGCTGCTGCTGCTGCAAGCAGTTTTACTACTCGCGGTGCTTTCCTTAGCCTCGCGCGTGCGGAGCAGGACACACCATGGCAGGTTCACGTCTCCGGCTACGGGAAGCGTCGGTTGTCGTCTGCTGATAGATAAGGAGGTGCGCGCGGCGGCGGCGGCGGCCGGGGGGGGGGGCGACACACAAGACCAGGAGCATTCTGTGCCTCGGAGGTAAGGGGAGGAGAAAGCAGCTGCCTTCGCCGCTTAGTTAACCGTTTGTTTTGAAGATCCGCTTCTAAGCATCAGTGTAGCTGGCGATTGTTGTTTTAAAATGTTGTTACTAAAATAAATAAATCAGAGCAAGGGATCCTGAAGTTGCAGCGATAGGCGTGCGGAGAATGGGCTCCGAAAGTTAAAAGAACGCAACCTTGTTAACCTTCCCCTCCCTCACCCCCCATTTAGCATCCCTACTATAACCGAGAAGATGAAATGAATGAATACTGTACTATGAAACGCTGAGTCGGAACTTGTAAAAGGAATTCTTTGTGTTGGGTTTCTAGCAAAATGGGACAGGAGCCGGGGTTGAAATTTTGAAAAGTGACATTTTTCTCGGCAGGCGTGGACCACAAATGTAAGTCCCAGGTGGCATCGCTCACGACCTCGGGCTAAATCGGAGCACTTTTATCCATTCAAAACTAGGGGAAACTTGGACGGAGGGCCAAAGAATCTAAGGCTGGACGCGCGCACGTGCTGAGGTTTCCCTTGGAAGCCCCACAGAATAGCGGCCTTAATGGGGTGGTCGGTGTGTGTGGGGGGGGCGCGGTGTGCGTGCGTGTTCCTGTTCTCAGAACATCCCAAATGATCCATCAAGGAGGAACCCGTTGCGGAATTCTGTAACCGCGGCCTGGTTTGCTGTGCGGATTTGCAGGTCGCCTCCATCATCTTACAGGTGCGTAGCCTGGGGAAGACAGGGAAATCCCTCCTTGGTGTCTTTCCGCCCGCCCTTCCCCCACCCTCGCGTCCTCGAATACAATGCGTTGTAGTAGTAGTAGCAGCAGCCGGGGGCGGCGTTCTGCTGGGATCTTCATGCTTCTCTGCCCTGCGTTATCACGGAACGAACCGTCTGCCATCGGAGGCAGCGCCTACGGCTGAGTCGGGATTTGCAGAGGGGGGAAAAAGCAAGCCTCGTTGATGTAGTAGTTACAGTGCTCGGTTTGGGAGATCAAGGATCAGCCATGAAATTCCCTCGGTGACCTTGGGTGAGTGACTCTGCCTCAGTTCAACCTACCTGACAGAACTGTTGAGAGGATAAAGTGAGGAGGAGGGTCATGTAGTTAGAGAAGGAAAAGTAGAGTATAAATGTAACAAACAAATAAAAGGTTTTGAAACTGCATCCTGACCTAAGGGCCTGGTGGAGAAAGAAAGGCAGCTTCTTTTAAAGTGGAACCACTCAATTTAGTGGTCCACTTTAATTGGAGTAATCTTGGGGGACCAACTGGCCTTTTCCTTGTTCTGTATCCATGATTGCTCAGGTCCTTCTAAGGACAGCCGAAGTGGCTGTCTCACACACTCTGCTGAGACATAAACCTTTGTCACCTTTTAGCAGATGTGGACTGACTGTCTGGTGCCCTAATACTAAGGTTCTTAACCTTTCCCAATGTCTTCTGATGACTCTTCAAGATTTACTGGGGAGGGGAGGAGTTCCTTTAGTGTAACTCTTTTTGATTACAAAACAAAAAACCAAAACAAAACTGTATGGGCCAGTCATCTTCTTAACTGGAGTAACTGGCTGGAAGAGGGAGGGAACAGACTTTTGTCTGCAGGTATATACTTTCTCAGAATTAGTTGGCTTGTGCAATAGGTGTACACGTATGACTCTTCTGGGTTGTATAATGTACTGTACTTTATGTCTGATTCAAATATGCTAATCAATTTTGGGGTATTTCAATATGTAGGGTTTGTGTTAGGGAAACTGTGACAGTTCTGCTCACAGTGCATTCATTGAGTGTAGGACGGACACTAACTAGAATGTGCCAGCCCTTTTTATTTATTTAAGGTACTTGATGTTTTTCAAGACTATTATCTTCCCCAATGTAAAATATACAATTACATATCAATCTGAGAAATTAAAATCATAAATCACTTTAAATCAAGTATGGTCCAGCTAAAGCATGCTTAGTTAAGAAATGGGAAATGTGAATCAAACAAGAAGCATATATAATTTTTAAAATGTGTTTCAATAAAAAAAAGATTTAAAAAATAATCTTAAAAGTCACAGCAAATGGAGCCTGATATGTGTATATTTAAGAGAGTATTCCACAGGCCAGAGAGTACCATTGGGAAGATCTTAACGATAGTGCCTACCAGCCTTTATCTTAATGACAAACTGGCAAATATGGCCTCTGATGATAATCTTAATTTACTGGCAGGTATTTAATCTTAACAACCAGGTCCTGAAGTCTTACAGTACATATCAAAACCAACACTTTGAACCAAGCATTTAAATGCACATATAACTGGTACAGCCAAGTCAAAACTGATATAATATAATTATTTGTCTAGCCCCTAACAAGGATATGAATGGTCACATTCTATATCAGCTGAAGTTTATAAGTTGTTGTAAAATACAGTCCCACATAGAACCCATTAGAGTCATGCAGTCTGGAAATAATTGGTGTGTGCATAACTTGAGCTAGATAGGGTTGCAGTTTACCAGTCAAAGTTGGCAAAAAAGTACTCCGGTCCTGCCTGTTGCTGCCACCTGTGCTCCTTTAGACAGCACTGAATCTAGAAATACTCCCAAGTTACAAAACTGGTTGTTTAGGGGGAGCCTTACAGCCTTATCCAATACCAGCTGAATCTCTCTGTCCAGATCAAAACGATGGAGAGCCCTGTGGCACCATAATAATTGACAAATGTATTGTAGCTATAGTAGATTATACTGTAACCCACTTCATCAAATGCAAAATGTACTATCCAGAATGTCAGATATATATATATATATATATATATTTCTGCATTTCATTCCCATTCCCATATATATATAGAAATATATATATCAAAGTGGGATATATATAGTACATGTGACTGCAAAGTAAAATTGCAGACAGTGAGGTTGGAGGGGAATGAAATGCAGAAAGAATTTATAATAGCAATTACTGTATAACACTGCTTATTCAGAAAAGATTAATACTACCAATAATCATGTGCTGTCAAGTCAATTTTGACTTATAGTGACCCTTTCCAGAATTTTCAAGGTGAAGACACAGAAGCAGCATACCGTTCCCTTCTTTGGGGGTCATTCTGAGACTGTGCAGCTTGCCCAAGGCTACACAGTCTGGCTCTGCTCACAGGAAGTACAGTGAAGAATCAGCCTTCCAGCCAGATACTTAGCAAGCCAACTATTCAGAAAATAGTTGCTGTTAAACCAAACTCCTTACCTCTAGGGAAGCGAATTAGTTATTTAATGATGGTGGGGGTGGGGTGGGGGATAAAGATACATTTGGTCAACACTGTGGTACTTTTCTAGAGGGAAGGATGGATGAAAGGACATACTGGTTTCAGTATCAGCAGCATTATAAAGACATTCGATGTCCATGTGACATAAATGGATTATAACTAGATGGATTGGTTGGTGCCACCACCTGTATTTTGTCACACATTGGGGGGGGGGGTTGAAAGGTCTATTTGACTTGGGGTCTGTCAGTCCTTGAGTTAAAGGGCGGGGGGGAGACGCCTTGAACCAGAGATAGGAAATATTTTTCTTTCAAACTACAACTCCTTGCTGGGTGTTTTTAAGAGCCAACTCAAGACCTGGCTCTTTAGGCAAGCCTTCCCTCCTGTCAATGCCTAATTTGTTCTTTTTAATTGTATTAATGTTGTTGTTTTATTTTTTATTATTCTTGAGTGTTGTTAGCTACCTGGAGTAGACTTCGATCTAGATGGGTGGGATATAAATAAACAAACAAACAAACTCCCAGAATACCTGAGCTGGAATGGTCAATATCTAAATAAAAGCAAATGTTACAGTTTTACCTGAAACTTTTAGATTTTCTGATAGCTGGCCTTTAAACATCTAGGCTTTTTGGGTGGTGGGAACTATCAAGGTTAAAGCGAGCTTGAGTAGACTAAAAGGTCTGTGCATGGGACTCACAAAATCAATGGTGGACTCCCAATCTTTCTCCTCACAATTTAGGCATCTGGGTGTATGCATGTATTAACTTTTTGATTGGTACACTATAGATTGCAGTCTCACTAGTGTGTGAAAAGCATAACATCGACTGGCTAATAATTTTGCATTTTATAATTTTATTTTCTCTAGGATGCATTTCCCCCCATCTGCAAATCGGTAGCTGTCACGATTGCACATGGCCCCTGATTGTTTTACCAACTAGGAGCTCATGCTACATGCCCCTCAGCTGCCACCAGTTGATTTCATCAGCAATACCTATTATTAATAATAGATGTCCAGACCATATGTCATTTTAAAAGAATCAAACAGAAATTGTTTATTGATACAGGTGTTGACAGAACAATGTTCTGTTAACTCTTAAACATTTTTCTTTATCCACCCTCAACCACCATTCTTCCGCCCAAATTCCAAAACTCTCTCAACTTTTTAACTCTATCTCAAAAACCCTATCAGTGTCTATCTCCTCCTGCTGAGTCTCTTATACCTCCTGACTCCGCTCCTCCAGCACTCCCATTGGTCTATGCAAATAAGATATAAATAATCATGACCTGGGCAAATGCCACAGTAGCTAAATATAGTTTTGCATGGGAGATGAAAGAACCAATTATCCCAAATATAAAAATAATAACTGGTGGGGGGGAATACTTCTATTTACAAACCAGAGATACTGTTGGCGCAACAAGGGTCAGATTGTACCAGTGATTGATATAATTTATTGGCCATAATCTCGCTGGTATTTGTGTAAGTTTTTGTGTAACCTGCTATAGCAAATTGTGGCTTATCTACAAGATACCAGGGCATGTCTCAGTTGCATCTTAGGCATGCACCTCATGTGTAACTGAGATGCTCCCTAGCACATCATCAATTAGCTACAATTAGTTGTGACAAGTTACACAAACCTTAGTGAACATGAGTAAGATTCCAGCTGTTGTATAGCTTCCAAAATGAAGAAAGGGGGGGCTTCCTAGAAATCAGAGCCTTTGCTTTGAAACAGGGGTAAGCAAATTGGGGCCCTCCACATGTTGTTGGATAGTAACTT